CAGGCATTTTGACAGGCATGGGGATGGGGTGGAGGGAAGGAAGAGCCCCTGGAGTCTCCGCAATGTGTGTGTGCCCATGAAGGTACCCGTAACATCATAGGACCCTCCTTTCTATTTAAAATTAAGGCATGGCAGAAGAGTTGGATGAGGTACCCCATGTCTAGACCATGTTGGCACCTTCCTGTGTGGGATAAGTCTTCACAACAACCCAGGATGCTGTTGGCTTTTTTGGCAACAAGAACATAGTGTTAGCTCCTATTCAATTTATGGCCTACTGTAACCCCCAAGTCCTTTTTGGCAGGACTGCAGTCTTGCCAGTTATCCCTCAGTCTTTGAGTTTATCCTCAGTGAATCTCATCTGATTGATTGTGAACTGTTTCTCCAATCTATACAGGTTATTCAGGATCCTAGTCCTACCCTCCAGAATACCTTCAATTCCACCCAACTTGGTATCGTCTGCAAATATTCTAAGTGAGTATCCAATACCATTGTCCAGCTCATTACTGGAGATATTAAACATTACCATACCCAAGACAGATCCCTGGGGAACCCCACTTGATACTTCCTCCTACCTAGACATTGAGCTGTCATTCAGTACTATGATCCAACCATTTACATATTCACTTTACAGCACTTTCATCTAGTCTATATTTCCTTAGATTGTTAATTGGAATATTGTAAGAACTTTACAAAAAGACTTTAGCAAGAGCTAAAGTCAAGGTATATTGCATCCACTGCTCTTCCACCCCTCCCTCCTTCCCCCCCCCTCCTGCCAAATCCATGGAGTCTGTTACCTTATCATAGTAGGAAATCAGGTTGGTCAGGCATGACTTGCTCTGGTATTTCATTCATTTGGTATTAGATTTCCATTATTGTTTTGCTTACTTCTCCAAACTCCAGATTACGATAGGTCTCCCACATAAACCTCTACTACTTTTTTTCCCCTGATTAGCTTATCACATACTGCCAAACATGCTAATATTCTACCAAATATCTGCACAGCTCAATTTGACTACTGTCACCAAAGGTCATTCTGCCTCAAAGTCCTAGTGAATTCTACAATATAAACCCAGCAGACAGTCAAATTACCTGGGTTGTGACTTTGTAAGATATCAGCAAGAGCATCAGGATGTAGAGAGGGATGATCAGCAAAAACAGATAAGGGGATAATTGACAATTTTTGTCCAGCACAGAACTGTGGGGAATTGGCTTCACTCACTTAAGTTACAATACCACTTTTATATGCTGAAGTTCATGGAGCTTATTTTATCTCTGACCTGCCCATGACTTTCAGTTCTGTCCCCTATATCCTACATTTTTTTTTGTGCCTGTCGTCACTACTTGTTTATACTAAATCCTCTGCTGCTACTTGCAACTGCCAAGAATACTAATTTTGAAAAGTCAAAGAAGAGGATTCATTTCTAATTGATATGAATTTGAATTAATGAGTTCAGATCTGTGACATTTCTGAATTGCTATTTTTAAGTCCAATTATTAGGAAAAAATAAAAAGGACCTTAGAAAAGTTGTAAATAGAAAATAAATTAATATTCTAACAAAATTATTTTTAAGGTTGAAAATATAGTGTGTGTGTTTAAAAAAAAAATAAAAATTTGGGCTGCTGAAGGAAAGTTTCTCAGAGTTCAATAATGCCTCCTGTATTGGGAATCTTATGTGATTTTTTTCAAGACAAATGTGCAATTCCAAGGAGGTTTGGAAGAAATCTTTGAAAACATTAAATAACATGTAAGGAAAAGTATATCTCATTAATCATACCTCCTATCAGAATCGCAATAAGCATTACAGAATAGCTTTTAAAAATTATGCAAGCATTTTATTACTCAAGGGTTAGATTATTTCAAAAGGGATTTAAAATACGAAGTCTTGCATAAAATAAAAAAATGCCTAAAACATGCAGCTTGTTTTTCTAAGAACCTTGCCTTCCAATTCTGATCTTAAATTGCTGTACTCCCAGGTCATTTTACCCTCTTTAACAAAGTATGGGGGAGAATTGTCTCCCTTAATGCTCATTGTTTCTTGAAACATTTTACTCAATTGAAGCACCTGGAAAAGTCCAGGCCATTACCACAGCCTTCTATATAATTGAAGCTTACTGGCCCCAAATGCAGAAAAAAAAATATTCTTCCTCCTTCTGAAGTTTGCTTCCTAATTTCATGTCTTTCTTCCTATACAGAAGTGAACTCTTAAATTATTTTATTGCAGCAGGATTATATCAAAGGAAAGCTAATTTAAGGAAAGTGCAATCGACCAGGTAAATTGTTTTTTTCCTCCAATCTTCTTTTGAATCATAGGGTAGATGCAAGATAGCAGACTTGATAGACCATTAGCTCTCCCTGAAGTATATCAAGTCCTATTTCCTGTATTCTGTTTTCCTAGAGTGAGGGAAAGATAGAAAAGGAAGATTCTGAGTTACTAAGGAGCTCATTAGATTTTTCTCTTAGGTCCTGTTTTCACAGCTTTATTGGGCAGCAGTTTTAAATTCATTAACCGTGTTTCACTGTCCAACACAGAACTCTGCTACTGCTGGTATATTGTCAGGTGTTATAGCTGACTGAGGTCTTTCATTCTCAGCGTAACAGAGCAAGATTTGTAAGTATATAGTGACATTATATTCCTTTCCTTGGAATAAATTCTTTGCAAGATATTTTTATCTTAACAGCTGCTCTGCTGACACTTTCAGCAGAGTGAGGATGTTACACAATAATGAATGAAATATATGAAAATATAAAAGAGGCTGGGACCTTTCCCATAGGTTTTTGTAATTCTCTTCAGTTCTTAACAAGTTGGTTAGAAGCGACCAACTATATCTTTTTCTTTATACATTTGGTGCTAGATTTTGAAGGGTGAAGACATTTTTCTGTGTATTGCCAGCTTACTCACATGCAGACTCCAGTGTACGCATGCAAATATTACTTTCCCTCTGCAGATGAGTATGTAAATCAGAAGTTGTGGGAGTGTATTATATTTGGCACTCGTACAAGTATGACATACAGAAGTGCTCACTCATAATCTTTACTGTGGTGTTCTGCCCTGTCACCTTCCACAACAGCAAACCTGACTGATTACCTTGAACTCTGTTGCTCATTCTGAAAAATAAGAGTAAAATAAATTAAAAATGAATGATGAAAAATAATATCTAAATTGTTTTGCCTTGGTCAGGAGCTAGACAGTTCTTATTCTCTACAATGGTGTAGTAGTTATTCAAGTCACATACCCTCCTCCTTTTGTTCTAGCTATGCAGGTGGATATGATTAGGGGTTCAGGCTGAAGGAACCCTTCAGTTACACAGAGATCAGTAGTTTGCCTGTTCATCCTTTCAGTTTCATGCCTTTCTTCCTTTAATGTGCTGATGCCTAAATGATAGATGAATCTTTAAAGATGCCACTATCCATTTTTTTTTCTAGTCCAAAGTCTCCCCCATACAATCAATGCATTATTCACATTGCTCCATGAGCACACAAACAGGTTACTGGGTGAAAAGGTTTTGCTCCATGAAAATTGCCTTATGTAACCTCCTTAAGCCATAGGATACACAAAAGCTAACTTTTGAGAGCTTACCCACCTCTGTCAGTGGGAGGAAGCCTTTGTGATGCTAAGGCAGGATTACTGTGACACACCTTATGAAGCGTTGTTCATCTTAAGAAGCACTGTAGCACACACTTGAAGCCAACTGTGTGTTGCAATTGCCTCCATTCAAGGTACATATAAAAGCATAGGGTTGAGCAAGAAGAACTTTGGTACTTTCACAAATGTTATTCTGCTGAGTACAGATGCTATAAACTTACCTCTCCTTCCATGAGAAAACTGTCTGCTATATTACAGCTAAAGGAAGGCAGACATAAACTCGAGGGAACTGCATGAAAAGTCCAACCCACAGTATCTCCAGGTCACATATAAAAATTCCAGCAGAAGTAAAACCAGTAGTACAGTCCAGAGCAGTAGGCTACAATTAAACCATAAAATAGATCAAAGAAATACCTGTAAGATGCAGTTCTCTATAGCTCACGTGCAGCTCCTAGCTCTCATAACTTCAGAAATGTAACAAAGACAGTTTCACAATATAGCAACTTAGCTCCTCAAAGGCATTCTCTTTTAAGTGACACCATATTTCTATATCTGTACTGCCAAAAGGCTAGGTCCTCAAAAGCCTCTAAAATGGGATTTAGGACAGACTTTACTGAGATCCCCAAGAAATTTGCTCAGTAGCTACTTAAGCCTAAACTCACTTTCATCTTTGACTAAAACTTCCATCTATGCCTGCAGTTCTGCTTTCCAGTCTGGACTGTTCCTGTCTGAACCACCAAATGCCTATCACCCACTATAACTTACAATGGGATCCACAAGCCAGACAGAGCAGTTCTTGAATCCCGAGACTGATCCAATCCTCTCAGCATTCTCAGAGCATGTCAACTTTTTGTCCTACAACATGGGTGAGGATTGAAATAGAAACAAGACAAATGTTAATCTGTTTTGTCATATTTTATACATTCCTCAAGAACAGGTAAGATGTTTTGTCCAAATCGCAAAAGACAGTCACAGGTTGACTGTCAAAACAAAACACCCTGTAGGCAAAAAATAAATAAATAAAATAAAATAAAAATTGGCAACTTAATCTAAGATGCCATTTATATTACTTTGCAGAATCAATACGCATCTTTTGCTAAATTTCGATTGCTTATTCTAAGGAATACAGTACTGCTATAACAGCAGGAAAAATCCTACCATTTGGAGGAAAGGCTCATTGAGTAACTAGCTACACTTTAGCACCAGTTTATATAGTCTAAATCACTCAAAAGGATTCTGAAACCAGTGAAAAAGTGTGTGCATTATCAACTCACAGCCTTTCATTTCTCTCCTATTTCCAAATAGATTGTAAACTTTTTGCAGTATTTTAAAAAATGGGTGGGAAAGATTGGCTTTTACTTGCTATTTTATGACTTGGCATTCAGTTTTTCATAACCTCCCAAGTCAGAACATTATCATAACGCTTTGCTTATGACCTCTCTGGTCAAGTAAAGGTGCTCTGTTTTGGCCTTTCCTGTCCATTCAGTAATGTTATATAGCACATTTTCTTGAGTCAGCCTTTTTACTCCTGTTCACTCTTTCTTGAACTATTGTGTTTATTAACATTGTTTCATAATGTGGCCAAACCAACTCCATATTCACTTTGCAGCTGCAGTCTCATCTCTTATCAATTGATTTATTTGAACTATATAGAGTATCTTTAGGAATTATTTAGTGCACCTCATTGCAAATACGTGTGTCCATCTTTCTGCATCTACAGTGAAGATCTAACTTTCATACTCCAAGGAGCAGTTGACATTACCTGTAATCTAAAGAGATGGATCTTGTTTGAATGGAAATATTACTATCACTAAAAGATTCTGATTTTTTTTTTCCAGTGCTTCTGTTGCTATTACCATTCTTGCATGATTCCCTTGTCTTAAATTC